CTGTGCATTCTCCCCATTGCTGGCATTTTGCCCAGTAGCAGGTGAGGAAATGGCTGCTGTGACAGCCAAGCTCCATGGGAGTCCAGGAGCCACCAGCCTGGCTGCCATTTTCCAGCTTAGGGGTGGGTTCTGTGGTGGGGAAAAGCCTCCAGAGGCTCAATGCCAGCACGGTAAGTCCGGGGCCAGTTTGGTCCTTTCCCCTTTAAAATGTAAAGGGCCGTGGGTGGAGGTCATGTCTACCTGACCATAAGTTGTCAGTCAACATCTTTCTTGTGCCTTCCCAAAACACTCAAAAATTCTGCATGATAAATTTTCATTACTCTCAGAATTTCAAGAGTGTTTCATGTCATGTCCAATGTTTCCAAGCTGACCTATGTATGCATTTGGCATGTGTGCTACACAAGTGGGCCAAATTAGACATTCCACAAAGGCCCGACCTGAAACAGCTAATTTTGGGTACAATTTCAACTTGGATATATCCTAGTATGCATTGGCATGTGTGCTACACAAGTGGGCCAAATTAGACATTCCACAAAGGCCAGAGTCTGGCAACAAGTCTGAAGGACAGTAGGAATGACTTTCCATTCTCACTACTGATATTGACAATATTTCCACATATCTCTAAAAAGCGGTCATCCAGTGTCAGATGAAATCTTCAAAAGGCTGAACAGGTCTTCCGTTGGTAAGAGGCAGGTTTTCGGTGCCCTGCACAGCTTCCTTTCCTTTCCCCTTTTTGTTTAGTTACTGCGAGTTTGATCCAAAGTTGATCTTTCACCAGAGTAACAGCACTTATGCCAATGGAATGGCAGTTCCATTGGTGCAGGGAGGGGGGTGCTGATACTACCCCTCCTACTGAGGACTCCCATTTCCCTCCAGGCTATCTGTGATCCCTGGTCCTTTGGATCTTAGTTTCAGAATATGCTATGTTTAACTTTCATAACATAGAATTGTACCTGAATTCCTGTTTCCTTAGAGTAGGATTCTTGGTACATTGCTGCCAAACACTGTGTACAACACACAGTCTTTACAACACAGTAAATGTCATCGAAGATGGAAGAGTACTGCCTCCCTCACTGTATATATTGAATACTTGTGCCCTTTGAGTTTTTCTTACCTCTCTAGCTCCTCAAATACATATCTGAAAATTGCAGTCAGTGCTTGCAAATCCAAGTGATGGTAGTTTACTGAAGCCTGCACTTGTCTGAGAAAGGCTCACCTGCTTATAGTTTAGGGCCCTGGACAGCTCTGATGCAGCATCAAATTCCTTCCTTATGGAAAATCAAACAGGCAGCCAGGCAAAGAGGCAGTGCTTTGGTTCAGATATAAATATGGTTAATTTGTGAAACTGAGATTCAGATCATAGGTTTTGGTTTGTCTTGGCAAATCCTGGTTTTATAACCTTCACTGTTTTCCTTGAAGAGACCCTGCAGATGCCACTTTCCGTATGCTTACAACTTAACTTGTGATAGTATAGTGATATGTATGCACAGTGGAACCAAAGGAAAGCTTGGCAACTCCCGAAGGCGAGCAGCAGCATTATGTTGTGGGTGCCTAAATTCATTCAGATGCCTTGGAAAGCAGACAGACTATCAGTTTGGGGGTTTTGTGTCTAGCATTTCAAGAAGGCAGGCAGAATTATAAGCTGGGCAGGAGGAGTTACATGGCAGCAGAAAAACAAAATGGGCAACTAAAAGCTTGAACTTGGAATCCCCAGGAAGGCAAGGCACAGTTACAGAGGGAGCATAGAGGCAGATTATGTTATGCTTGTGTACCTGGAAAGATAGGCAGAGTTAAGAGGAGGGCACAGGAGATATTACACAAAGTAAACAATTGCATTAGTACATGCACATACAAAGTTTGGTGTAGTGGTTAAGTGCACAGACTCTAATCTGGGAGAACTGGGTTGATTCTCCACTCCTCCACGTGCAGCTGTTGGATGACCTTGGGCAAGCCATAGTTCTGTCAGAGCTGTTCTTGAAAGAGCAGTTCTTGAAAGAGCTCTCTCAGCCCCACCTACATCACAGGGTGTCTGTTGTGGGGAGGGGAAGGGGAAGGAGATTATAAACTGCTCTGAGACGCTGAGTGAAGGGTGGGGTATAAATCCAATCTCTTCTTCTTCACTATAATGGGTAAAGCCTGCCAAGGAAAAAGGAAGGAAGGAAGGAAGGAAAAACTCTGCCAAGGAAAAAGGAAGGAAGGAAGGAAAAACGGACATACTAAGTAGATAACAGCAAAGCAGCAGAAATAGCCTGAAAAACCCAGTCTCAGATAGATAACAGCAAAGCAGCAGAAATAGCCAGTCTCATACAGAACAAAATTAGCTCAAAGAGGGAACTTGGATGGAGTCACTGGTTATATAAAATAAAGAAAGCCACCCTTCCCAAGCCACTGAGCCAGCAATGGATATTATTATTTTTATTGTTTTTACCTCCACCCATTCCTAAATTATCAAAATATTATGAAATACACAGAAAAGCTTTAAAAACCAAGATGTTACAGGTGGATAGTTTTTAAAAAGTTATTTTCATTGTGTTTGGGGAGGAATCTATTTTAATGTTTGCTGAGAAACAGGTGTTGCAAATGTAATTAAATACTGCCTATGCAGAACAAATTTACCTTCAGTGGAGGTAGGAATTCATTGTTATTTATGATGAACATGACTAGATCTGATCATTGCTGCAGCATGCTTAAAATCAGTTTGAATCCTGTGGATGTTTGTTGGGAATAAATGTAGCATTCTCCTATTGTATTAACTCGCTTAGCCGGGCTGTCATGTCTTTGATGTGACAGTGCTTCCTGTTTGGATCAATAACACTACCACGAAGGATATGCTCTGAAAGTGGCATGACTCATTATGATTGACAAAAGGCGTATCTGCATCCCGTGTCAGGATTCTGACACGTCCCTCACTGACCAGCCATGTTTTTGAAAATCATTCCAGTTTAGCAGATGATCCATCAAGCAGTGTGTCATGCTGTTGCGAGAACAGTGCTTTTGAGTCTTGTGTGCAGTCATGTATTGTAGCTCAGGGTAGCGATAAAAAGCTGTTAATGAACAGGATGACTGACAGCACCCTGGGAAGAATACTAAGAATCCATACAGTAACACATTTGCAAGATTCTTGGTCGCTGTCGTACTCTAATAGGGAACTGAGTGACACAGCCTTAACCTTCAGAGAGACCAACTACATTTTGAGTTTTCAGTGATACATAGAAGTTCTGGAGCATATGAAGGGCTAAAGATGCTATGGACCTGGGAAACAAAGCTGCAGCCAGTATAATTTCTTGTCCAGAATGCTCAGTCCCTTCCTCACTGCATTTGAGTATTTACTTTTGTTTGTTTTAAAACATTTCTGTGCCACCTTTCCACCCAAATGGGGATCCCAAGGCAACAAACACCAAGGCACTGGAACATTTCAAACCTTGAAACAGCATTTAAAATGTATATGTACAAAAAATTCACAATGCAACAAAAACATGTAGACATACGAACACAACACAATGAGGGAGGGAGGCCCATAAGAGTTTACTGGGGGTATACCAAATAGAACAGTTTTCATCCACTGGCGGAAGACAATGACAGAGGGAGACAGTCAAGTCTCCGTGGGGAGGGAGTTCCAAAGTTTTGGAACATGTCAGAGAAGGCCCTTTCTCAGTTTGCTACCTGTCTAGCCTCACATGGTGAGGGCACCAGAAGAAAGACCTCTGAGGATTACTGGAGTGGAAAGATGCATTCATATGAGAGAAGGCGGTCCTTAAGGTATGCTGGTACAAAGCTATATAGAGCTTTAAAGGTCAATATCAGCCCCTTGAATTGGGCCCGGAAACAAATTGAGACCGGTATAGATTGTGATAGGGCCCCTGTGACTCACTTCAGTCAGCATTCTGGACAGAGCTTTCTGTACCAACTGTAGTGTTTGGACAGTCTTCAAGGGCAGCCCCACATAGAACACACTGCAGTTATCTAATCCAGATGCTACCAGGACATGCACCTCAATGGCAAGATCTTTCCTGTGCAGAAAGGGCTGTAGCTGGAGAATCCAAGTTGGGGTGGATGCAAGAGATTTTATCTGCAAAGTGTTTAACAAAATGATTGCAGTGGGCTGCAGAGGAGTCCACCTCCTCCCATTGGCTTACATACTACCCACCTGTGGCTCTTGTACTACTCATCAGTTACTTTTACACATTTATACCCCTTTGAAAGTCTTCAGCGTGACCATCCGTGCTTATTTATATATCTGAATATTTTATCCCACTTTTCTTCACACTGAGAGCAGCTTCCAAAATAAAAGACACCTGAACAATAGAATTAAACAAAACAGACCCAACAGATGGCCACCAATCTTAGAGTAAGCAATGAGCCATATGGATATCCTGGCTCCTGTGGCACAACTCACAAGGACCACAAGCTACAAGCCATGAGCTAAAATTCATGCCACTGGACAAGCCCAGGATTTATGTTACCTGGAAAAAAGGGAAGGGCAAATGCACAGCCCAGGTCTTAATCACCTGGTTTAGATGCTCCCAGTCTCTTCCTTTTCCTCCTTTCCTTCTGCAGTGTGTATTCCTGCACCTAATATCTATTTGCATAAGAACCAGCTTCTGAAACTGCGGTTTCATATTTATCCATTCCCTGTGGGGTAGTCAAAATATGCTAAAGTGAGAAGGATGCCAAAATAATCCTTGATGCAGTTTATTTGATCCAAAGTTGTATAACAAAGATCTCTTCTTCAATACCATTGTGTATGACATTTAATTAAGAAGTCTCGTTAATGTGTCTCTCTTAAGATGCGTGTGTACAAACCTTTGTTGAACCTAAATGTTACATAATGTTGTTTTTGTGTTTTAAAGAACATATCTAAGCGAGCCCTGGGGAAGATCATACTCAACACTTTGGAATCCTGCTGTGACCCACAACATGGTAAGAAAATGAAATCAATGCATGGTGGGCCTTCCCAGAAGGTCTCCTTAGGAGGCTGCATAGAGAAGCGCTTTTGTATGAGAATATGATTTAGCTACTGCTGCAAATGGAAGTTGTTTCAGCTGTATGTGCTTCTGCTGTTCAGAAATGGCAGGAAATGAGGCAATGACAGAGGGCCTAGTCCTCTTGGGATACACAGGTAAGTCCAAGTAACAGGAAAGTCATCCTAGCAGCACCAGATAAGAATATAAATCAGCTCAGGTATAGGTGAGAGGGCAGCAGTCCACAAAGTCCCTGGTCCTGACTAATGGACAAGAGAACTGTGGAGTTAGTGATGCCAGTAGGTAATGGCCAACTGATAGATTTCTGGAGAAGGGAGATCATATTCCGGTAAGGAAGACATTGTTTATACTTTTTGTGTGGGGTGTCAAGATATGGGGAAGATGCTTCTGTAATTCAAAGCCAGACAACACCACTGAGAGGTAAATACAAGGACCATTAACTAGTTGTGCCAACCTCCAGGTGGGGCCTAGAGATCTCCTGGAAATACAACTGATCTCTGTTGTCTGGAGAGATCAGTTCCCCTGGAGGAAACGGTTGCTTTGAAGGGTAGACCCTGAGGCATTATATTCTGCTGAGGTCCCTTCACTCCCTAAACCCCACTCTCCCCAGGCTCTACCCCCAAATCTCCAGGAGCTGTTGGTAACCCTTATGGGAAAACCCCCAAATCTCCAGGAATCCCCCAAGCTGTTGGTAACCCTTATGGGAAAGCTTATCTGAAAATTAGATCAGAGCCCAGTAGCACCTTAGAAACAAACAAGATTTTTTGGGGTGTAAGCTTTCAGGGTCAAAGCTCCCTTTGTCAGATATTTGACTCTTGAAAGCTTATACCCCAAAAATCTAGTCTGTATCTTAAGGCGCTACAGAACTCCATTCTAGCAGACCAACACAGCTACCCTCAGAAATTTACCTGAAAGACTCCTATTAAATTCAATGTTTTCCAGTCTTATAAATTGCATAGAAACGGAAAGCCATTCTAGTAACCAGATTCCACATATAACATTTGTGCAAATGTGCACTCATCCTTTCCTTTTCCAGCAAGGTTGTACAGGGATTAGAGAGAGCAGAACAAATCCAAGCCCAGCTTATCTCTAGTTACTCCATAGTCTAATGGCTTTTTTGCTCCCTTCAGTGTAAAGATGAACAGAGATGATACAGAGATGAAAGATGGTGAGACTGAGGACAACAGCAACTTTCTGTAAAATGGGGGGGCATCACACCTGTTCTACTTTGATAATATTTCATGTTTAGCAGAGTCCTACCCTTCCCCTGGCAATAGCATACTGAGCTGTTGCCTCAGGAAGCCCTGAAGATTTTGTTTTGGATAGTCCATTCTATCTGCAAAGATTTTATGAGTGCCTCCTTTAGGACAACAGACACTGTATGCCTGGCCAGTTTTCTTAAGAACACAGACCAAAGAGGGGTTGATGAAGAAATAAAAAAAATACAAGAGTTCACTGAAGTTTTGGTCTGAAAGCGCTAAATGATGGAACACTCTCCCAAGTGAGATCAGGGCCCTGCGGGATTCATTTCAGTTCCACAGGGCCTGTAAAATGGAGATGTTCCACCTTTGGTTGAGCCAGCGGATGTGTAGTTATAGAAGAAGAAGAAGAGAAGAAGAGATTGGATTTATACCCCGCCCTTCACTTGGAGTCTCAGAGCGGCTTACAAACTCCTTTCCCTTCCCCTCCCCACAACAGACACCCTGTGAGGTGGGTGGGGCTGAGAGAACTCTGATACAAACTGCTCTTTTCCAAGGACAGCTGTGCCAGAGCTTGTGACTGACCCAAGGTCACATCAGCAGGTGCAAGTGGAGGAGTGGGGAATCAAACCCGGTTCTCCCAGATTAGAGTCCGCACACTTAACCACTACACCAAACTGGCTCCCCTGCCTCACCGTGCTCTGGCCTGGTATATTATCCAGGCAGAGACTATAGGTGGTGAATTGCCCACTGCCCAGTTGGTTCATCACGGACACACCTTTGTGTAGATCTTATAGGAGTGTTGCGCACCTATGCCTGACTGCCATCTTGTATACTATAATATTCATATTGTATAAGCTATTTATTTGTTTATATAGCTTGGCTGGAAGAATGTTTCAACTGTTTTATCAACTGTTGTAACCCGCCCTGTGCCCTGCATTGCAGGGGAGGGTCGGATAAAAGTCCAGTAAAATAAATGAATGAATAAATAATGTAGAGACATTACAGCTGTTTCCGTATAAGGAAGGCCACTGCCAGACAGGAATGAACACAAGCTGCTTATCCTTTTGAACTGCCTCTGAATGAATTAAGGGTCTAAAGTATTTTATACAACACAAAATGCTGTATAAATTACAATAATGATTATTACTGCAGGAAAACCTAAGGAAGGTGGTATTCCTCCTTCCCAGTATTTATGCCACAGCCTAAGGCACTAGGTGGTCTAGAGAACTCAGCCTGCCAAGCATTCAAGCCCCACCTGCAACACAGAGGATGTGCTTATTGGCCATTTGTGCCCATTTTACCCTGCCTCTAGAGATCAGAGGGAAGAAGCTAGTTTATCAGATCTCTTTGCCCAGCTTGGGGGGGGGGGGGGAGAGACAGGGTGACTACCTCCAGGTCTCCTCCCTTTTCCTTTCAGCACTCCTGGCTGACCCCAGGATCTTTTGGTGCCTTCTTTGTATAGCACTTCCCAATACATTGCAAAACTTGGTATCTTCCCGTTCAGGCCAGTTCAGAGCTGTCCCAAGAACTGTCTGATCAGGGGGCTGCCCTGGCAGCTTCTCAAGGCAATGGAATATATGTCACAATTCATTTGAAATATTCACATCCTGCCTGTCTCCACGAAGGTTCAAAGTGGAAGGAAAGAGAGAAACTGTTTACAGTCACCAATAATAATTAAAAACTCATTTGCATCAAAATTATTCAGTGGACAGATTCGCCACCCGTCAGCGCCACACACACAAAACACAGAGAGAGAGAGAGAGAGGAGAAAGGCATAATACAAAAAAGCTCAGCAGAATGAAACTCTGAAAATATTTTCCTGAACAGGACTGTTTTTCATCTCTTCCTGAAAACTGGTAGAGATGATGGCCTGCTGACCCCCTTAGGCAGGTTGTTACAGACACTCAGAGCCAAAACCCAGACCCAGGCTGACCTAACACTCCTGGGGGGCAACACAACACAGAGAAGAAGCCGATGGGAGAACATCACTGGCACAGAGGTTCATATAGGGAGAGACAATCTTTCACTTAAGGAAAGCACACATAAATATGTGCATCGGGAACAAAAGGCCCTTCCCTGGAGGCCAGACTGGCAATGAAAGGGCTCTTGCCCATTTTCTTTGTCTCTTTCAAGCTATTCAAAGTGTGCCAGCACATGGAACATTCTCCACATCTACTTTCAGCTTAAACAACTTACTTATGATTTGATATAACCAGAATACCTGGTTCTTCTTTGCTTCAATGGGACCTAATTCCACTTCTGCACATTAAACATGAAACAGGTTAAACATTAAACATGAAATAAATCAAAAGCTTACTGGAGTTAATAAAAAAAAGTAATACAATCCTGGTAAGGTCATCACAGTGCTCCCCAATTTCAAACTTTATCCAGAGAACATTGTTCCAATTTTAATTGAATATGTAGTTGCAAGTTAGGGGAAGATATTTAGCTATATTGTACAAAAATGTGAATATCTTCAGAATGAGAAATGGATAAGGTTGCCTTCTTCTGAAAGGAAACATCTGTGTGGAACAAATATGGTAGAAGGTCTTTTTATGGGCTTCCATTACATAGCTGGCTCCAGTTTCATACAATAAAATTGCATCATGAAAGGAGATACTCATCTGGCTACTTCCTAAACATTCCAATAATCCTGGGTAAAAAAACCCTACTTTGTTTATGTTATTTATGTTAAATGTTAAGAAGGACTATATATATCACACACACATTATATATATATACACACACACACAAGTGGGAGGCCCATCTCTTCCCCCACCATGGTGACTTCAGGCCCGGCCACTCAACTAAAGTAACAGTGTTGACATCTGGAAGCCGCTTTGAGCCCAGAGCAGCTGCTCGTGTCTTCCACCACCATGGCCTGCCCCAGAGGCTCTCCTGGAGTCCTCCACAACACAACCAGGCTCAGAGTGGCTCTTGGAGTGTGTGTGTGTGTGTGTGTGTACATGGTGACTCCAGACCCTGCCACTCAACTAAAGCAACAGTGTTGACCTATGGAAGCTGCTTTGAGCCCAGAGCAGCTGCTGGTGTCTTCCACCACCGTGGCCTGCCCCAGAGGCTCTCCTGGAGTTCTCCACAACACAACCAGGCTCAGAGTGGCTCTTGGATCACTTTGCCATGGCAGCCAGGCAGGGGGCAGCTCTCAGAGTGCTCTGCTGGCATGACCAGGCCTGGAGTCTCTCCCAGCATCTCTGTACTGATATAGCTTCCCCAGGAGACATGGGCTGGGGTCCAGCTGGGCAGGTCATGGGCAAGGTTGCAGAGAGTAACCAAAGTCCAGTCCAAAACTGAGGGGTTCCAGAGAGCAGGTTTACCAAAGTCCAGTTTAGAGTCAAGGAATTTCAAACAGCAAGTCCAGTCCAAGGTCAGGGGTCCCAGAAAAACTAGTTGTCTAGTCTGAGGCTCAAGGTTGCAGAGGTCCAGTAGCAGCAAGGTTGGCAACTCAGTAGCAAAGTGTGCTTGTTGCATCCACAAACTGTTGCTTCTCCCAGCTGAATTTATAGCCAAGTCTTAGTTAGCTAAACCCACAACCAATTCCTTGGTAGTCATCCTGAAATTACTCATTTGTCTCTTCAATTGACAGCTGATGACAGGCCATGAGTTTCGCACTTCTTCTCCTTTCTTGCAACTCTAAGCGTCTCTGACAGCATCGGCGCTGCAAGGGTGTGGGTGAGCTAGGTGGGCTGGGAGTGGCTGCTGAAGACTTGTTTACTGCTTCAGAGTTACAAGGTGTGACTCCTTATCAGCCAGTAACCTGACCTCTTGTTGTTCTCCTTCTGGCTCAGAGCCAGCTTCAGCCGGCTGTTCAATTACTGGCTCAGGGCTAGCAGGTAGCTCTTCGTCTGAGAAATCTGAGCCATCGCTCAGCACAGACTGACTTAGGACACCCTGCTGCAGCATCTGCTATACACACACACACACAATCTGCTCCCATAGAACAGAATGGGAGCTCCATGGTTGGCTCTCATAGCTGCCACTCCAGCTATGGACAACTGCTATGGGAGTTTCTAGGACTCATCCACCCCCAGCATTGCCTAGGACTTGATTGAATCGGTGCCAGGCTGTCTGGAAAACGAACTGCTCTAATGAACCAAATGAACCTCCTCGGAAAAAAGGCAGTTCATTTTTTAATTTGGAAAAGATGTGACCAAACGAACCGGTTCGAAATGAACCACAAACCAGCCTGGTCCGTGCTCAAACTGTGGTTCATTTCTCAGTTCATGCTCATCCCTAGTACAAAGTATGTCAGGAGAGAACAATACATTGTGCTTCACACAGGGTTGCCACCCAAAATGGCATTCTCATTTCATATTAGTCCAGTACCCACGACAGCCCCACACGTTCATTGAATATGTGGGAAGGAAGAGCAGCATAAGCATACTGGTCCTGCCTCTACACAATAGTCTGGTCATCTGCAAGGTATGACACCACATGGAGGAAGTGGCCATACATATATCCTGTCCCCACCATGATCAACTGTGCTGCTTTAAGAACATCACTGATCTCAGGGAGGGAGAGTTATTATTCCCACTGTCTGATAAATTTAGGCACATTTATCCATATGTTTTCCCACATTTCTGAATCTTACTATTGGCAGGTGGTGCACTTTATCTTTTCCAGGTTCTGACAGCAATAGTTGAACCCAAAAATGTAAAAAAAATCTCATACCTGCCATCTTTCTTATTCAAGTTTGCTTCTTTTGCATGTGTGTGTCTCTGTGTTTTGTATTTTTTCATGCAGCACTGCATAAATAACTCCCCCAAATTTCCATAAGCAAGTGTTACTGTTTTGACAGCAAAGGATCAATGGCTCCATTGGATTAGGTTACTAGTTTCCGTCACTGTAATGGGAGCCTAACATTGATTTGAAGCAGGAAATGGTTTTTACTTCCATCTGTGACTATAGTTTCAAGAAGTTCAGCTGCACAGCACACCACCAACATACAGATTCTAAAATGTAACCTTTGTTTACTTGAGGGTGAGGATTTAATGACCGAAGTGTATGAAGCCCACAGGACAGCAGAATGGCTGGCAGATGCTCCCCTAAGGCATTCTCACGTCTTAATTTTCAGAAAGTCTGCATTATTATTTTGCCATTTACAGCTGCATTTCAGAGAGGGGATGTTTTATTGTTGAAACTGCACACTCTTAACATGCTAACTTACCATCTGCATTTTGTCTTTATCTTAAAGGAAAGCCACATATTTTTGAAGTCCTGGATACCCTCTACCATGAACTGACTGCCTGTGAACTCATTCATAGCAAGTCTCTGGAAACAACTCCTGGTCATCAGTCCTTGGTTAACCCATTGGTTATCTCCTGTTGAGCAAGTGATTATTTCCACATATAGGGCTTCTAAGCTACAATGCAAAATACAAGCCGGCGACTAGAGATGATTTTAAAATTTTTCATCCTTACTGTTTCAACCCCCAAATTCTGTTTCTGTTTCACTTCTGCCCTGTGTGAATCAAAACCCCTATTCTTTGAGTTGGATCCACTGGATTTTTGCCCATGGAGCACAACTGTCTTGCCCCCCCCCCACCTCGCTGCAGCCCAAAATGCCCCCCAGTGCCTTTCCTAGAGGTTCCCTGACCTCCCAGGAGCAGCATTGAGGGGCATTTTGGGCTTCAGCAGAAGGAAGCATGTGAGAAAGTCATACTTCACAGGCAGAAATCCTTCCATCCACAGGACACTCTATTGGATGCAAGTCTTTGTTTTCATGCCATTGTCTGTTTACCCGCACTGAATTTCCCCTCATAATATGCATTTCTAGTCATTGCACATCAGAATAACACATTATATGACCCGCACTGAATTTCCCCTCATAATATGTATGCATTCCTAGCGTCATTTGCACATCAGCATAACACATTATAGGTATAAATGGCATTTAAAATTATATAGCATTTATACATATTACAAACCAACCAACCTATGACATAAATAGTGGCATGGAGAATGAAAACCATTGGGAAAATATAAACCAGTATAAAAATAAATAAAATAGAGAGCATTAGCATTTCCTTAGTGGCTGCCACCCATGACACCTGTTAAATCCCAGAGCTGGAATAGTGAAAGACTATTGTTAAGGATCAAGTAGTCATTTTGGTGTAGAGCCAGTTTGGTGCAGTGGTTAAGTGCATAGACTCTAATCGGGAGAACCAGGTCTTATTCCCCACTCCTCCACTTGCAGACGCTGGATGACCTTGGGCAAGCCATAGTTCTGACAAGAGCTGTCCTTGAAAGGGCAGTTCTTGAAAGAGCTCTCTCAGCCCCACCTACCTCACAGGGTGTCTGTTGTGGGGAGGGGGAGGGAAAGGAGTTTGTAAGCCGCTCTGAGACTCCTACTGAAGGGCGGGGTATAAATCCAATCTCCTCCTCCTCCTTCTTCTTCAGATTCATCATGCCCATTTGCCCAGTATTATCACATTTGACAGTTCCCAGATCTTGAGCACAGTTCTCTAAGAGCTATGGTCCAGACCTTTCTCAACTGAGCTATGTAAAATATCTTAACTGGAAAATGCCTGGAATTCACACTTGACAGCTCAGAGAACCAAGACCTGCCCTCTAATCTTGAATTGTTAAATTACATGTGATACTTCTGAGTTGTTTAGTTTCTCATCTCATTTCCAAGCAAGCCCTATCTTGCCACTACTCTGGAGGATTGTTTAATGAATGGAGCCTAACACATCCATTTATTTGGTAGAAGAAATATAGCAACCCACTGTACAGAAAAAACATTACTATTAGCCCAGTAGAGTCTTGTCCCTGATTATAGCAGGAGATATTAATTTTAACTAGTAGTTTGCCCTCTCTGGAGCATCAATTGATGGGCAACATCCATGCTGTTTTCTTAATGTACCTATGGAAAATACACGTTTATTATAAAAATATACCAAGCAATATTAAGTTGCTTATACCTTATAGGTTGGTATATGGTAGCTATAGGCTGTTATAACTACCTATAGTAGTGCAAGGCTATGTACTACAAAGTACATTGGTGTATGTATCTGCATATGTGCTTGTAAATGCACATTTTATTTAACTCTAGAGTTGTATTTACATTTTTGTCCAATTGGATGTTTTATTTGAAATAATAGTCACATTATAAATGTAATTATGCTTCAATAGTAATGTTCAACTATTTTCTTCAATTATGATACATTTTAGATTCCTATATTAAATGCTACCTTTAAGAACCTTTTGAAGTTGTGCCAGTGATTCTGTTCACTAGATACAGATGTATTATGGGTACCTGGGGGAATCAGAAGCCTGGGGTGTTCTGTGGGAGGAGGACACTGTCTCAGTGGGAAACAGACTTGGGAGAATAAAAGTGGAACCACAAAGGTTAATGTTTAGTTATGTGTGTGACCTCTTTGGGGAGCCCTGCCCCAAATACCTTCACCCAGAGCTTCCCCTCCCAAGCCTCATTTTGATTTTGCAGACAGCACACTAAAGAAGAGATTATGGTATAGGCTGAGCTAGCCTGATATACCGCCAGTTATGTTTATGTGTTTTAATAGATGTCCTTTATTGACACCTAATGCTGCTCCCCCTGCACCTGGATGCTGCACCACACAAAGCCTGATGTACGTGTATGTATCAATCACCCATCACTCACAGCACTTGAGGACTCATAGCAAGACCTATCTCAAATACTGAGTTTGGTGTAAGGCAGGGGTCCCCAGTGCGGGGCCTGTGGGTACCATGGTGCCTGGCCATGCCTTTCCTGGCACCCACTGAGTGTTTTTTTAGGAAGTGTGCAGGGCCATGTGGGGCTTTGGCCTAGCAAGGCTTCTGATTGACCATTGGGGATTTGATTGCTTAAGTAGATTTTTTGAAAACATTGTTTTGGCAGCAGCTACCACCATAACAGAAGGATCTTTTCAGCCCTGGCCTCTGCCTGGTGGGACTCTCTGCCTGAAAATATTCGGGCCCTACGGGATTTACTACCTTTCCGTGGGGCCTGCAAGGCAGAGATGTTCTGACAGGCCTTCGGTTGAGGACAGCGACAGTTGGCACCCTCCTACCCAGCTTTTAACTGTTCTGTAATGGAGTATCACTATGTTTACTTGATGTAAGCCGCCCTGAGCCCTGCTTGCAGGGAAGGGCAGCCTAGCAAGTTGAAATGAATAAATCTTTACTGTTTGACTGAAGGTAAGCTGAAGCAGCCAGAATTCCAAAGGGGCCTGCAGGCTGCAAAGGGTTGGGGACCCTGGTGTAAGGCAATGCAGAATTTCTTTTTAATCTGTTCTTCTGTGGGGAGTAAAAACAACTTGAGCTGATCTGGGGTGAATGAACAGTGGACACAGAGTGACTGAGATACCTTTGCTGCTGCTTCATGTCACCCTCTTCCAAAATGGCTTTGCTTTTTAAAAATTGGTATTGGGGGGGACTCAGACTGTCAGCATGCTACATAGACATAAACCAACTGGGATCATGGCAAATAATAATGTAATAATGGTGTAGGAGAGCCAGTTTGGTGTATTGGTTAAGTGTGCAGACTCTAATCTTATTCCCCACTCCTCTACCTGCAGCTGCTGGATGACCTTGGGCAAGCCATAGTTCTCATAAGCTGTTCTTGAAAGAGCTCTCTCAGCCCTGCCTATCTCACAGGGTGTCTGTTGTGGGGAGGGGAAGGGAAAGGAGTTTGTAAGCCTCTCTGAGACTCCGAGTGAAGGGTGGGGTATAAATCCAATCTCTTCTCCTAACAACAGAACAATTACTGTGTCAGAACTAACAATAAATCTAATCAAATATTTGCCAAATGCTATATATGTTTGTATTTAATGAATAAAGCGCTGAAATATCTTAATGTCTAAATTACAGTAATAACAATATAAATGTTGTTAAGTACGAGACTCAACACAGCTAGTGAACAGTGAATCAGCTTTATTAACGAAGTCAGAAGAAATCAGAACGAGACAAAAAACAGAGCAACAGGTTCTCTTTTAAACAGTCCGGGCTTGGGAGGCCACGCCCACATGTCAGCTAACAACCAATAACTATTTACAGATAAGGTCCAATCAGAGTGCTTCCCTCCAGATCATTGCGCAGCTCTGATTGGTTTATTTACAATCCTGTTTAGAACTCAAGCATAACATAGTTTTCAATACATAACAATGTCTATGTGTCATCCTAATAATAATCAATCATAGAAGTAAGTCCATCTTGAAAAAATACAAACATAAAGTCCCCTATTTAATCCCATCAAGCCTCCCAAGTACTTACTGTGATTCGGCGGGGGACACAGACGTCTTTGCAGGATCATTCCCGCTGGGACAACAGACATGTCAGCTAACAACCAATAACTATTTACAGATAAGGTCCAATCAGAGTGCTTCCCTCCAGATCATTGCGCAGCTCTGATTGGTTTATTTACAATCCTGTTTAGAACTCAAGCATAACATTGTTTTCAATACATAACAATGCCTATGTATCATCCTAATAAAGTCCATCTTGAAAAAATACAAACATAAAGTCCCTTATTTAATCCCGCGGTAAGTACTTGGGAACCCTAAATCCCATAGGTAACCAGAGGAGGACATGAAACAATGTTAAATAGTCCATAGTATTCCAAACTTGTTCAAATCATCTTGCAGGATATTTTCAAATGGTTGTGCAAGCAGGAAATGGGAAGCCATAACAATCACAGAACCAACCCCAGTACTCTGGCTTCCTGTCTGTTGGATTGATTCCAAATCCCTACTGGATAGAAATTCTCTCTGGAATGAGCTGATCTGCCCTGTTCCATCCATGCATCAGGTTTTCATATCAGCTTTATTCTTTGTACATTATACAGTTTGTAGAGCTGCACAGAGGTGTTTCAAAGTAGATACATCAGCTGTTTTCTTTCCAGCCCGTTATTCACTGCTTCCCTGTGCTTTTCACATGCAGCTAATGAGATGCAAATATTCATTCTTCATGTTATCTCTTGTTCCTTGCAGTGACACTTTGTGTTGCTGTTGTTGTTCTTGTCATTTCCTGTCCTCTGTTTTTCATATCCCTCTCACTTGTGTCATGTTTACGCTGTGTGCAGAGACAGGTAGTGTCTAAATCTGTTTTTCTTTTATTTTAAAGCTATTTTTACAAGTCAGTTATTATGGATAGGAGCTGCGGTTGCTCAAGTGGTTAAGACTCTAAACTGCAGGCTGTGGAAGGTCAGTAGTTCAGCAGTTCGAGACCCAGGGGTGCCGCATGACGGAGTGAGCTCCAGTCTCTAGTTCAAACTCCTGCCAACCTAGCAGTTCGAAAGCAAGAAATTGCAAGTAGATAAATAGGTACCTCTTCGGTGGGAAGGTAACAGCATTCTGTGCACCTTGATGTTTAGTCATGCTGGCCACATGACCACGGAAACGTCTTTGGACAGCGCTGGCTCTTCGGCTTTGAAATGGAGATGAGCACCATAACCCTAGAGTCGGATTCGACTGGCATTCGAGCAAGGGAACCTTTACCTTTACCTTTATTATGGATAAATAAGTTATAAATACAATAATGGGATCCATCTATTTTGGGGGCAGGAGTGAATTGCTTCACAAAATTTCATGTCATTTAAGGAT